TCACCCCACTTACCCCCACCGCCCCCAACACTCCACCCCCATTCCATTGCCCCTGACCACCTCCCAAGTCTTTCCATTCCTCATCCCTCTATCAACTTCAGACATGTCCCAAGAAGGAATGGCCAAGTCATCTGGAAGAAAAGAAAGAAGCACCAGGTCCCATTCTCCCAGACATACTTCAATTGATGAATATACATTCACACCAGTGTGCATTCACTGACGTCTGACCCCTCAGGGTTTTGTTAACGTTAAAATAGAAGGGGTGGGATTAGGAGCTCATTGTGGAAGATAAGACAGAGCAGGTGCAAGGCGGCAGCCCCGGCTCAAAGGAGCCATTGAGAAGACGCCGCCACACGCCTCAGACAGACTGATGAAAAGGCGGTGTGCCCCTGGCCATGCACTGCCGTTAACCTGTTTGCTTTCCACCTCAGGTGAGACAGCACCTGCCACCCGCCGCCTTATCACAGCCACGTGTCTGAACAGGTCAACCTTCCCACGCCCAACTGGCCTTGAACATGTACACCTATGCTACAAAACTCTTCTCTTATGAGCTTCAGCTGTTTTGTGATCTTTATCTCAACAGTGAATTTGTTTTTTTGTTGCCTTTCAAATGCCAGCACGCACACACGTGGACTCATTCCCCCTTTTCACAGTCGCATTTTTTTTGAACGTTCAAACATTGCCAGATAATGTTTGATTGGTTTGCAGAACAAACTCTGAGCAGATGTTTAGTGCAGCACTCTGGGGCCAAGGCCCAAGGCCGATGTTTGTTCAGGGAGGGCTGGCGGTTGGACCGGGTATAGGATCAGAGGCTGGCGCTGTTTGCGCAGAGTTCCGCTGAAAGGACAGACTAATCACACAGGCAGCTGCCAAGCCAGACTGGGCACTGACAGAGAGAGAAACCTCAGAGCTGATTAGTGCATTACAATGTGTGTGTGTGGCCACTCACCCCCATCCCTGCTCCCACTGTCCCTATGCACTGAGACAATGAGGAGTGGGTAAAGCTGTCACTGGGTAAATCCCAAATATGTTTGCCTGGATTTGCATACAGCTGCAGTGGTTAACTAAGAGAGGCCTCTCGTGGCACATGGCTTTGTTTCTATGTTTCCCATTTATTGAAGATAATGTGAGCCAAAATGACCCTTTTGTGGTTTCTTTCATAAATGTCAAGTCTTTTCTTCAAAATGCAGTTTTCCCAGCGTTCTCGGCACACAATAAAGGATGAGGGTTTGGTTTTTTGAGCGGGCAGAGATTGGTAGGGCTTCCCACCCCGCCAAAGGAAGGTCTGGCATAGGGCAGGCTGAGCGTGGAGCCTGTCTGTCTGTCTCCTTCTACCCGGGAAGGAAGTAGAGAGATGTTACTCCCTCTATTAAACACCAAACAGCCCTGCTCCCTCTACCGGTGCCAATCAGAGACCAGAAACTTGCACAGACTCGTGCCACAACAGATCTGCACTGCTTTCACTGTCTTGTCTTCAACCCAGAGAAGCTACTGCCACAAACAGAGAGTAGTTATGCAGTTAAGTATTTCAAATAGAGATAATGAGGTTGGTCATGGCACTTAATTTGCGTCGAGCAAGTGTGCATTTGATCTGAATGGCATTCTGTGTAACTGGACACTGGATACCGCAGCCGCGGCACAGGCTGTTCTCTCATTGTTGTGAATTTCTCTCGCTGGGGAAGCTGCATTGTTCCAGGGGGGAAATTTAGAGAAACAGCGGAAGCCAGAAGCTGCAGCGTGAACAATTAAAAATGGAGCAGATCTGACTGAAAAGAATAACACTATTCAAGAGTCCTGACTCATCAAGTCAAGACAATTACAAAGCATGCTTTTAATAATCAGAAAGCAACAGAGCGCTAGGGTTTCATTCTCTTAGAAAAATACTGATAATTCCAGTGTATTAACTAAGCTAGGGGAGCTTCTAGCTGACCGTGACTAACTCTAAACAAAGACAAGACAGTTTCCCACCAAGAAGAGCCACAGGCTGCCATGAGTGTCAACAGCAGGCACAGATTGGATCTACTCTCAGTGTTTACATGTAAACAGCCCAAGACAGCGAGCTGTTCATCACCCGTCAAGGCAGCACCTGAAGTAGGTAAGCGGGTTGGAAAGATCCTTCCTACACAAGTTTCTAACCCCTATGAACACGTTCACAGTGTCGGTCATGCATCATCTCACTTGACATATGTGACAAAGTTCCCATGCTGTGGGTCTAACAATGCCTGGCCCGCTGAAACACTTGTCTGGTGCCAGCCATTGTGGCAAGCGGCCAAACGGTACACCGGAGTCCTTGGGATAATCCCCGGCCGTTCAGATGACAATAACTGGGATTTAACGTACTCAGGTGTTGCATGGATGAATGTAGAAATAATTTTGAGAGCGGCTCTCCGTGTGCACATGTTGAGAATGTGAGGATTCATATAGCTGGCATTAGAGCCATCTTTTGTTCTTTGAGACCCAGCCACCTGGCACTCATTCTCCAGGAACTCCCCCTTGTATTCTGGGCTGCGCTGGTCTTTTATGTCTGCGCTGCTCCCCACCAGCTGCTGCTATTAATCCCTGCTGTTAACTCTCTCTTCTGTGGGTTAACTTCCATCAACTCCTGTACTGAGCAAACTTAGTCTTAGTTTTCAGTCTCGCCTATAGTCTGTAGTGGTCATATCAGTTTAGCTGGATAGCGAAAGACAAATCCGAGCTGACTGAATGAGTACAGAGGCTAAAGTGGTCTGATTTAAATTTCCATTTTCCACATGCTTTGATATTCACAGAAACGTCACAAACATAATGTTCTTTGTACTGAGACGCTGCGGGCATCTAAAAGTGTTGCTATGGCTGTATCATATTCAAATGGCAATAATAAAACCCCTCTTGTCTAAGGTGTGAGGGAAACGGATTGTGACAGACCCCCGAGGCAAATTAAACGGACTTTTGCAAAATGTATGAGCAACTACTCTAGGTGGTGAATAAAATCACTTTGACTGCTCTGCGCTCGCTGCTGTCGATATGCCGAGAGTGCTTTTGTGCTGGCCTGTTTCTCAGAGCTGTATTTTCATACTGTGAGCCACTCGGCATGCTGCTGAAAAGCCTTCCCTTGCCTATAGATGCTGTCCCTTTGTGCCCCCCAGCATCTCCATAACGAAGACTCTCTTTTCCCACCACTTGGGTAGCTTGACCCAGCCTCTGCTCCAGATCCCCGGTTCCCATGGAGAGTGGGAGACAAGGGGCTGGCAAAGCTTTTCTTTCCCCCTTCAGAAAGACGCTTTGTTAGTGCTGAGAAGGGGACAGCTCTGAAGCCGCTGCTGTGATGCATCCTTAGCACTGGCGTATTCACGGGGACACCCCAAACAATGGAGCAGGAGGGGAGAAAGGGGGGAACTTACAGCCACCCATCTCTCTTTGAGCTACACAGCGTTTGCTACAGACAGCACTGTGAATCTGAGTTTAATAATGTGTTTTTTTTAATATGCCAGGCAGATATAAATGGATTTTTGGTCCCTTAATGACAATGTTCAACATTTGAATTTGTTTTGTGGTCCTGCTTGTAGATATCAATACTATAGATTGGCTGATGATAGGTTTGACCAACTTTTTTTTTTACTGTTCTTCACACATTCGTTTACTTAATCAGTTCTTTATTAACATGTATACTAATAAATGCAATCATTCAGAGGATCTCTAAAGAGGAATACCACTGTGTTCAACAGGAAACAACAATGTTCACAGGTAACGTGACTTAATGTAAGAGGACAATAAACTTGCATCCATTTAGACTGAAACAAATGTGAAATTGCATTAATGAATAATAAAATATTTAAGCTACATTTAAATGTATCCATTTTTTCGGCCAATTAAACAAACATAATCTGTATTGGTCGTGAAAAGCAATACTGATTCATCTCCAATTAAAACTATTTAAGTTAACTATATTATAATTTAATAGACAGTAATGCAAAATATTAAATAAAAAATATTTCTAAAATAAAAGACAGTAATGCAAACTGTAACTGGATTTCAAACACTCGGAAGAATAATAGCTAAAAGTGTCTTAAAGTAGGGCAAGGTGGTTTGAAGCGGAAAGACAGTGCCCACCATTTATCATTAATATCACGCAAAAAACATCCCCTTTGTTTCCGGCTGGTAAAATATGTAACCAAAAGAGTGCAACAAGTTATGCAAAGTTGTTGCAAACAGTTTGTAAAAGCGCAAACGGACATACCTGCTTCATGTTTCTGGATATCCAGGTGTCCAGCAGTAGATCCAGTCTGGACCGGTGAAACTTCTTTGTGGTCTTCACTGCGATGAAGATGTCATCCGCGCTGATGTCCTCAGCAGGCGGCGCGTCTGTCGTCGCTCCGGACGCTTCGGTCGGCTTATCCGCTTCCCTCCTGCTGCGGGTGAGCTTGGAAAAATAGGCAGAGAATCCTTTCTTTCCATTCTGCTCAGGCTGAGCTCCATCATCAGCCTCTGATTCCCCCAGACTTTGGAGCGAGCGCAAGCCGACCTCACTCTCGTTCTGCATCCCGTCCATCTGAGTCCGCCGATGCTGCGACAGAAATAACAGCAGCCCTAGACAGGTGACGGTCGCCCCCGCGAGGGAGAGCACAGCTTTCCTGCCGTCCGCTTTCGACATGTTCATTAAACTCTAAGAGAAGCACGCTCTCTTTGTGATATACACAGCATTAACATAAACCTCCCTCCAATAGCCTACTCTAAAAAACAAGCGTGTCATCCGACTGCAACATAGTAGCGCTGAGAGAGTTTCCTCATTGTCACTCGAAGGGGCTTTTATAAACTGCCCACAGCGTTGGTCACGCCCAGTGGGCGGGGCATTGATGGCTATTGTGCTGTGGGAACCGCAGAGAGACTGTCAATGGGAGACGCGTTAAAGGACAGCAAGCGAGGGACAAAGAGGGGGCAGGGTGAAGAGCACAAACAGGCGTAAACATTTTCAAAGTACATGCTCTTATAAAACAAACTATGCATGCATGCGCTATAATCACTCTTAATTGCATATTTTCCATTATCAGGAGCAGGGCTGAAAATAATTGTACAAATTTGTCTAGGCCTAAATTTGTGCATCAGTTTTAGGTGGAAACAACATTTATTTATTTATTTGTTTATTTATTTAAAGTCTTATGTTTAACATGTAATTATTTTAAGTTGCAACCTTTTTGTTTATTTTTTTTGTTTGTTTTTTATTATTATTATTTGTAAAAAAAAAATTAAATAAAAAGTGAAGATTTAATTCATTTTAACATGTTTCTGTAAGCATATAGGCCTATACAGAATACATGAATGGGGTCATATTTCCCACTAAAAGTGTGTGTGTGTGCGTGCGCGCGCGCGCGCGTGTGTGTGTTTGTTTGCGTGTGTGAGAGAGAGAAAGTGTAGCACAGATTTTAACATTTCTCTGGCTTTTTTTTGCATGAAGAAAATGAAGATGTAAATGATTAAAGGCTAAGAACTGAAAAGTAATTTTATTGCTGTCTTATAGTCAATTACAGCTTAAGATGAGTTTATTGCACTTTTTTAACCACTTTAAATTTTATTTGACTAAAATCTCATTAGAAAGTAAACATGACAATAATTATAGTTAAATAGATGAAATATGTATTTTTAAACATAATGATTTGAAACTTTTTATATATCATGAACCTGACTGTCACAATGCAAAAATTGTTCCACAAACAGAAATCAGTTTGTTAATGTATTTTTTATTGCCTTAGATTTACCTCTGAAAATAAGACTACTGACATAGGACATCTTCTATAGACAACCTGGATCACATCAAGCACCAGCCAGTTCTCAGTGTCAACATTCAAATCAAGCTCACAATGATGGTGCGCTCCAGTCAATCCACGGCAGCTGACCTCGTGAGGCCTTCAAACAACCGCATGTTCCTTATGCTTGCTTTAAAATGGCGCCTCTTCTGCGGTGAAAAGCCTGTAGATCTGGGAGCACAACCCTAGCCATGACTTCCAGCTGACAGCTCGCCAACTGCTGGTGACAGACTTAAATGCTTCACATCCTATAGCCCTCTTAACAGCTTGCTTTCAAAACAAGCAGCAGTCAGACACTACATTTAAGTCCTCACGTCCAAGTCAGGCTGAACAGCTGAGATGTTCTTGTTTTTTTGATAACAGAGATAATTAACACTCAAGAACTGGTCATTTGGGACATATCATTAAGAATCGAACAAAAAGTTGTGCTCCTTCAGAAATTCTAGAGGTCCGAGACAAAGCGCAAAGCTTCAAACTTTTCATTGCTGCTAACAGACATACAGCGTCTTTTGTTAATCTTTTGAAGCAGCCAACAAAAAAAATGTGTTAAAACGTGTATAAGGAACCAGGCAGAGGGGTCAACCTCCCCCGGCCTCTGTTCTTTTTAGGATCAGCACCCTATTTTACTCTGGAATGGAGGAACACTCTGGCAGGCCCCTTGTCAGACTCCTTAGACAATATGTGCAATAAAAAGCAGGACTTAACCACACACAATGCGAAAGTTCCGCTTATATCCCAGATTCATGCCAGTCACCCCATTCCCCCTCCTCCACCTCTGACGGATAACAAAAAAGGGGAGAAAAAAGTTTCTTTTCTTCCAACCTCTCTTTCATTCTCAAAAAAAAGGCTCCCCCGTCTGCCCTCCATACCACATCCCGGATCCTTCCCCATCTGAAGACGTTACCGCTGAATTCCAATTAAATGAAATCTCCGATCCAAGCACAACCCACTTCCCCACAAGAATGCCCAGCGATCCTGCTAATAAACGCAACCCCAGTCCCGCTGTCATCTGGAGCAGGATGATGGAGAATCTCAGAGGAATGGATATGATTACTGCTATGTTATTTATAGAGTCACTTTAATGTGTGTAGCACAAAGGCGAGGCACAACATTTCAATGCATGTGGCTGGCATCCTTGCTAAATGAGACTGGACGTGCCCTGTCTGAACATCCCCTTTTCCCGCCTGCCAAAACTCAAGCTCAAGGCTTGGCGCAACTGTTTGTTTTGGGATTTGAATGTTTGCATAGGGTAAACAAAGCAATTTCAGCATGTTAGCTGTATTTGAGGACAGAGTTGTCTTATCTGACCGTTCAGTTTAAACAGTTCCCTTGATGCAAACTGACTTGCTTTGATCTTAATACCCTCGATGCACCACAACTACAAACACAGATACTCTGGGTAATGAGAGCGGTCTGTTCGGAGTGGTAGAACGCCATCATGTTGATAAAGGCACATCCTTCCTTCATCCGTTCCATATTTATTTTTATTCATTTCTGTCTTTTCCTTACCCTCCAACCATTGGGCAGATTCTTTGAAGATGGAGGTTAAATTCACAACAGCTGTATGAGAGGATGACGGCTATGTGGCGTCTTACTGTATCCTTGTACAATGGGCATATACAAGGAAATAGTGGGATGGTTAGTGGTTGTCTGTCAGCCTACTGTCTCCTGTTTATTATTCTGATCCACATAATGGAGCATTTAACTGTATTACAATCATCTGGAGTTACAGTATGTGTCCTGTAGAACATCTTTTGGTGGTCTATTTGATTTTTTGAGGATAATTTCTTCCTTTTGGCCAGCTACGATACAGAACTTTCAAATATCGTATACAATACATGACATATAGTCATCTCTTTCCTCAACTAAAAGGGAAAAAATGGCTCTTTGAGAAGCGGTCATGGTCATTTGACATATTTAATGGGGATCTGTGAAATGTTCGATTGAATTATGCAAGCACCAAGTCCTGCCAAGTTCGAATCTGTCCTTGGAGCTTCAATGTCTTACTGTCTTGTTTCATTCTTTCTTGTTTTCCAGGTCTCTGTTTTTTCTTTCTCCAATGCTCTTGGATGAAATGGGAGTCCAGACAGTGATGGCCGTGGATGATATTCCTATGGTGTAAGTGCACAGTGATAATGAAACTATATTCGTCCCATCTGGGTAAAATCAATTTCAGTTGATGGAAAAAGTATTTATGTGCTCTAGCCAGATGAAGGGAAAACATTCTTTATTTATTTGTCTTTTTTGGGCTATAAATCCTGCAGCGCATATTCTCTACGGTTGCGTCCCGAGCAGGGAAACATAATGCAGCTTCTGAGGGTCCGCGGAGTCCCCTGGCTCTCACTTCTGGTGTGACCTGTAATCCTATCAATGCTAGCACAGCCATGCTGGGAGAATAAACAGAGCTATTGGCTTCTGCCACTGCCCTTTTTATACACTATGTCCTTCTCTCACACAGCGCATTTCAGCTTTGGAATAAATATTCGTGAACAAGAAAATGCACTTGGATGACTTGGGTTTGCGCCTCTATTTTTTTTTTCTTTTATTTGCAACTTTACCAAATAAACATTGTCTGTTTTCTCAGGGCTCATCCAAGCCTTTGATTCGCTCGTCATTCTCTCCAGATCCTACAATCCTTCAGAAGAGACTTAATTTTGTTATTCTGAGAATTGCGGATAGTTGGACTGTCGTACTTTGCAGATGTTGGACGCCAGGGTCTGTGTCACAGTGCCAGCTGTTGTTGCTGTAAGTTGTGCTTTGTTTCCACCATGTCAAATGGATTATGGGAAATTTAGCAATGGCCTTTCTGTAGCAGTGGGGGGTCAGATTGCACCCCTGGCTAGTCCGGGCTTGTCCTCAACCACAAATGCTCAATGTATGTAATGTAGTGATAAGTGATGTTAAATATGCCTCTGACACAAAACACCATGCAATCACAAGGAAAAGTTTAATTAACTGCTCATTCATCTACATAATTTACTGCATAACTACTTAGAACTGCAGTTTGAGCAGCATTGGAACCATGTGTGAGATTTACATACAAGAAGCAGAAGCAAATCATCTCCCCAACCTGTCAGCAGTAACATTGTGTAGTTGATTAAAGTTTGAGGAAGAAGTGGGAGGTGTAACGATGGAAAGGAGCCGCTTGGCTCTCTTTGTATACTGCTGGAACAGTGGAGCTGGGACAAGGACGCTGCTGTTTGTGGGTGAATCAGGCTCTGGATCACTCAGCCTCTTTGAAAGAGTTCTCTTCAACCTATACCCTTCCCTTTTGTGGCCTGCCACTACCTTGCTGAGTGGGACAATGAGCCAACCATTGAAAACTGAGACATGTTTCTGTGCTGCCCGGAGCCCATTAAGCTCTAAAGCACTACTGTAGGTCTCTCTCATCAGGCCTCTATTCTCATTCTAATGGCTTGCTGCATGCCAATAGGCCTGTTGCTAGAAGCTCCCATTGCATTCCAGCCACAAATACGAGTGGGTTTAAAGTTGTTGGGTTTCCCCACCTTTGGGTTTTGAGAACGCTGCCAGTTGTTATGATGTAACCACATGTCCTATTGTAATTGGGTTCATTGATCTCATTCCTCTCCCATGACTCTCCCGATCTGGTCTATGCTATGATGCTGTTGTGACCACATTTACATCTCTGTCAATATATATATATATATATATATATATATTGATTATTTCTTAAATGCTTGGTATTCTATACAGTTGCATTGAAACAAGTAACATAAAATGGCCTGGGGTATCGGGTACTGAGATGTTGAACAGTTTCCTTTGTTTTCATTGAAAACAATGGGATATTGCAGCTATGGGTTTCGGGTGGGGTGACCACTGTTGAGGTGAATTACCTTTTCTTCAGCCCATTTTGGGTATTTGAATGCTAAATGGCATTTGGGAATGCTGAGATGGCTCCTCTGGGAGAATATCAAGAGATCTCATTATGTGGATCTCCTGGTGCTTTCAATGGTAATTAATGGAGAGATAAGCTACTGTTGATATTTAAATTTTGACCTG